TTTTCATATGATCGCGTACATAATTAACAAATTTTATTTAATTATTTTATTTGATTAAATTAAGTAATCAAGAAATTTACTACCGATACAAACGTTAAACATCTTATTTGCCGCAAAACGATGAGCTTTGTAAATTTGATGATCGCATGGAAAAACGTGTTTTAAAAAGTGAAAAGTCAGTCGATCCTTTCCAATTCACAGTGGTTAATTATAATTCGTCGGTGTAGGATCAGAGGAACATATCAACCAAAATAATAATTACATTATTACATTGGTTGATACGTTGTATGTTATCAAAGAATCTTGTGCGACCATTTTTGTGTTTTAAACCATCAATCTTTAAAAGTACTTAAACTGAAGTTGTAACTTCTAAAGAGTACTATAGTTGTATTATGCAATTCGACGGAGACCCCTAAATAAATCAGTTTTAATTTTCAATTTTAAAGTTTTAATTTTAAAAACTGTTTAGATTGATACGTTTTTTGGCCCTATGCCGACGAGATGACGTTTGTTTCACATATCCAATTCATTGTTTTTAGATAATAATGAGATACCTAAGCGGAAAATGAATCGGCGATACAAAAACCTCTACTGCGATAGGCGGCGAGTTATGTCCATCGCACATAGACGCCGCGACCGGTAGGTGTGCGGTACGCGTTTTACTTGGGCCCGTTTTAGGGTGTAGACAGCTATATGTTTATACAACAACGAAAGTCTGTAATACGCATAAATGTTCATAATGTGTACATAAATTATGGTTATTATTCTATTAGATGGACATCGGAGAGAGATAGCAAAGAGACTAGCTTGTAACAACAGCTGACGTGTGTCCGTTAGGAGGGACTGATAGCGGCGGCCACTGTGGCCGCGGGTAATTACACCTACCGAAAGGTATAATGGTCTAATGACAGATATAAATCAAACTGCCAGATGTTTTGACGGTAGGCAAAGTCCTCCTCTTACCCTATGTGCTTCTATGATGTCATCACCCTCCCTTCTTCCCCTTTGGACATGTCTCAAAAATTAATTATTTTAAATGGTAATTGTTTTTGTTCAACGAAGGGTCAAAGTTTAACTTAAAATATTGTGAAACAACCGATTGCATAGGCAAAATTTGAGCAACACAATTATTATAGAACCTGCGCGTCGCGCATTTACATACAATACATCCAAAACTTTTTGATGAGTTCAACGGGTGTATTTTACATATTGGAAATTTGATCCTTTTGGACTTTTAACCTTTATAAAATGCTCCCGATCACTTGATACGCTGGAATTGTAGTTGTCCTACTTTAATAAGCCATTAAATAAATCTAAAAAATGTTTCGTGGTTAAAAGTAACAATATATTAACGACGGGTTGTGTTGTGAAAAATATGTTAGCAAAACACAAACATACTACAGGCACTCCGAGAAATAATAATTACAAAATGTGTACATTAAATAAAAACACATTTTAGTTTTATAGCCGTACAAAACATAACTGTTTATAAAAATAATACGCCGAGAACGCAAACACATTTTCCACCAATAATAATTACTACGGAGCGCCGTTAAAAAATTAAATCAATAGATATGTTCGATTAATTGATTTCGTGTTTTTCCCAACAATCGTATTCGATGTATTTCAAATAGAGTTTCTGGGCATTGGTTTTCTGTGTAGGACTTGTGTTTTATGACTTACCTATGTGTGTATCGTTATGCTCTGAATTCGATGTTTATGAACTCGCTGTTGTGTGGGTTAATATGTTTATCAATAACCCGGGCAGATTTATGTGGACATAATAAATATCAAAACGTACACAGTAATACTATAACGTTTGTAATTATTCAGGATGCGCGTGGTTCCCACAAATCGCCGCAGCCAGAAGCGGGTGGCGAGGTCGTCTTTGGAGGATACCGAAGGGAAAAAAAATCTCTGGAAAGTCATGAAAAGATATATGATATTATTTTTATTACATTTAACACGCCGTGCGATCGCAGCTGGATAACGTCGGGGAACGACCAGTGATATAATTTTTACAACATAATATGTCTTCACCCTCTTGTCCACCAATATTGTCGGCCAACACAGTTAGGTAAACGTATTCGATATTCAAATTGACCCACTGAAATTTGACTAGAAGCGACTTTTAAGGAATCGCACGCGTTCTAAATTACAAAATGTCGTTGTGTTAAGTTCAAACGTTTGATGGAACCCGTCGCGTTGATTGTGGAACGAGTGTTGTCACTCTCCGGAACGAGAATTGTACCTGTCGTATTGTGATGTTTGGCCGAGTCGCGAGATTTTTTTACCGCCATTCGGGTTTTCATCTAAAAGGGATCGGCGGAGACACACAAAACCGTTTAACAGGCGAGTGATGATTTGTTTTGACGGGTGTTGCCCGTGGAAACCCCCGCGAACTCGCCGCGCAGGATTGCGTGCGGCTATTATTTTATTACAACCGCGGCACGGCTACGGCCAATCAATGATACCCGCGAAAGTAAGCAAGCTGTGCAAGCGTACGGTGTGTAAATCCAGTGGGTTTCACGAATGTTTACCCGCAGGTAGATGTGCTGTACTCGGCAAGACGTGTGAAAGTACAACACGTGCAGCTCACCCTTCTCGTATCATCGCAACAAGGGTAGCGCGGCCAAGTCTATTTTACCCACGGAATCTGACGCATTGCTTGTCATTGGGGGGCACGGGAGATGCTCGACGAGTGGCTCGCACGCTATGATATTTGCCGGCGGAACCTTCCTTACGAATTTCCGACGTTGTAGTACAGAGTTACCGAGGGTGGTCGGCGGTCGTTACAGCAATACAATTAAGGAATAGAACAACGTTAGTCTGTATGAATAGCGTATGTGCCCGCAGTGTCACGGGCGAAGCTTATGAATCCGGTTTGAGCAGAACCGATATTATTATTTCGTTTATTGTTTATGTACTTACTCGACCGATAATGTTCATAAATAAAAAAACCGCCGTATATTATAAAAAAATATATGTATACGGACGCGTTTATAAAATGCGATCCGGTCAGGTATCTCTGCGTACACAATAATAAATAATTTTCGTCCAGTTAATTAAAGCGATACCACTGAAAGACCGTCGTCACAACGGCGACGGAGAGAGACGGAACGGCAGCCCGTAGGAAATAATGGTAATGGTGTGGTAGTAAGTAGAATAGAAAAAGAAGGAACTATATTGAAAAATAATCATTGTGATTAAACAAGAGGTATACACCGCAGATGTGTACGAGGAGCAATAAACTAGGCTCGTTAGCTGTCGTTTTAAGGAGGGGCGCCGATGGGTTACGATTTGTTTGGGATGTAAATAAGCCATCACCAGCGGGCGGCCGATAATTTTTATCGTTATTTATTTATTTGTCGTTTTCGTTATTTATTTACATTGGATTTATTGCGCGCACACCGCGATTCTTTCTTTCCGTTTCAAGGGCTTTTTATTAGTATTATTATTATTATTTTTTTGAATTGCGGACATGCCGTTTTCTGAATTCATGTACAACTTGACGCAGCCCGTGGTCAGTTATTTTTATTTATTTGTCTATATTGTCAGCCACGTAAAATTTACATATTCCCACGCCGAATCTAGACGTTTGTTTTTTATTTATATCGGACTTACAAACGCATTGTTTCAATGTAAATTCAACACCAAATTATTTTGTTACAAGCGTTGTGCACCACAATTTGTAAATGTTTTGTAAATGATCCACCAATAACAATAAATAAAACAATCTCAGGAAATATTACACTCGTTTTGCATAAATTTACACTCGTATTGAGAGTGTGATCAATTATGAATGATATATAAAATATCATTTTGTGTTGTATCTAATCGGGTGTTTATGAAAAATAAACAAGTACTTTGTTCCATAGAAATTGTACAACATGTATTAAATAAGAACAACATTGTTGTGTTGTATTATGTTTTGCCTAGCGTTGGTCTGGTCAAAAGCCATTTGTTGTCATTTAATGAACCTTAATATTATCACAAACAGCATGACGTCTTGACCTTTATTCAACTTTGTAAAAAATACAACAACTATAATTTTTCCCACTCGTTGTTACATTTTAGTAAAAACTCAAACTCATTTAAATCATCATACGAGAGTTAAAAAATATGTTCACACATAGTATATTAATTAATCAGGAACGGCGTAAGAGGTGTGCGAAATGTGGATGCGCAAACTAAGCAAATAATTATAAAAAGACCTTTTTTTCAATAAAAAAAAAAAATTTAAGACTCCCACAAACTTGTTTTGCACGAGACCCCGTAATTTTTAGCGCCGGCCCTGTAATTAATCCGCCTAGTCTTTTTAAAAAGAATTAAGTCATGTGTTTTCAATTATAAATGTAAGTGTTTCGTGATGTCTTGACAACATTATATGTATTAATGAGAAATCTTAACCCTAAATACATCGCATTCCCATTGTTTTGTACTATTTTTTCTTCGGTTAATTTACACTCAAACTAAATAGTAAGAGATAGAATAGTAGTAGATCTTCTCTTTAAAAATAGTAAATGTGCATTACTATTAAACGAATTTAATAAATTGGCCGTTAAAATAAAATAAAATTTTATTTATATGGATTTCTTTTGAAGATAGATTATATTAGAAATTCTTTATTTACTTTTTAGTAAATACTTGTTATTCGTTTTCCGTTTTAGTACATGCTATGTATGCATAAGAAAGAGAGATGTTGCTTTTTTGTTGTGGTCTACTACTGTGTGGCACTCAACTCCATTATAGTCATATCATTCATGAGTAGATTGGTATTAGCTTATCAACGTACTAATGTATTAATGTACTAAATAAGTGGTTAGTAATACTTATTGAAATCACTGTTGAAAAATGAATGGTCATGGCGTTTAAGGGTTATTGTTATATATTACATGATACTATGATTTAACATATCGTATAAAGATGACTGGCACTTTTTTTACCCCGTGTGGTTGAAATTGACAATGAATAATTATTCTTTAATTTTTACTTTACAGTTACAATGCACAAGTCCAAAGAAGAACAAAATAACGTTACCAGCTCCCAGTACCAGCGTTCGCGAACTTGTCCGGAGCCCCATCACTTGCATTTAGACGGAGATATGTTCCTACAAGTAATTATAAGATTATAATAATTACTATGCGTGCGTAAACACTATTAGGTGTTAATTAATGCATTTTACAGGCGTTAAATGGATTTTTAGTGATGTTAACTTGCGACGGCGAGGTGTTTTTTGCAACACACACAATAGAAAATTACCTAGGCTTCCATCAAGTAACTATAAATCAATTCTCAAATCTTATATTTGAACGATAAAAGAATTTTTAGTTTTAAACGAAAAACAATTATTCAACATAATGTAACATATTGTAATAGATTGTTACCAATGAAAAACTATATTTTCGAAGTGAGATTTTAATCATAGACAGTCACTAGGCTTTAAACAAAAATTACTTATAATTTTTTTAATAACATAAAAATGAAAATTAATATAATTTTATTCTAACTTTTACTTCTGAAAATATTGAACTTAAAGCCATTTTCCACGTTTTTAATTTTTTTTTAACTATTAAAAATATTCAATATTAATTAGTAATTGGTGGTTATATCACAGACTGGTACACTGAAAAAATCCAATAAAATCAACAAATGTGTTATCGTAATAGATTGTAAAATATGTCAAAAAAAAAAAATTTTTGTCTAACGAATCATAGTTTATTTTATTCATTTAAATATTGTTTTTGTTAGAAGAATAAAAAATTGATCAAATTAATAAATATTTTTTTAAATGGACAAAGAAATAAATAACAATAATAAAGCTTGTACAGAGATTGGAGTTTTTTACAAATAGCATAATTATAAAAAATGTAGGAAATATCTAGCAGTGATTAATATCATCACCTAATAATCAATTCAATGTCAATTTGTAAAATTTATTTTTTGTTTTTCATCGTTCAATAATAATATACGTTTAAAGAACTTTAATTTAGTATAGGTTTTGATTTATTAGACATTTTCAATAATCAAATAAAAAATAAGTAATTTTTTTGTAATAATTGTAAATTATTAAACTTTGAGTGCAATTTTTATATAGTAAAAAAAAAACCTGGTATTTTTTTTTAATATTGTAGTAAACTTTAAAAACTTTTATTTGACATAGGTTAAAATTTGTCAGACGTTAAACGGAACATTTCTATAAATTGAGTTTATAAACATTTTTGTGAATATGTAAATTGCCACGTTTAAACCCTTCCTGTACATTCCCTGGGTATTGATTGGACTTTGATAAAAGGCATATTAAAAGAAAGTTGTCTCAAGTATTGCCAATGTAAATCTCATTAAGATTACTGTTTTTTAAAACAGTTATTGTTGTTGCGTTTTAAAATGATTTTTAACATTATTCGGTGCAACTAGATTGAAATTGAGTACTTTTGACGCATAAATCAACAAAATCGGTTAAACGAAAATTTCCATGGAAAGATACACAAAAATAAATACATTATATTAAAATTGTTACTTTCTCAGCTTCGCATCGAAGCTAAAATGATTTAATCAATGAAATATATATGAATTATTTATCTAATAAAAATACTAATGGATGTATATTGATAAAAATTTGTTAATTTTACTAAGGAGTTTTTACAGTGTAGTAACCTAACGAGTGTTATTATGGTGTATAATAGCTAAATGCATTTAACAGCTGCTAATACAATATAAGAGATATTAACGGACCGCAATATAATATTGTACAGATGTAGAACAGCGAAAAAAGCAAAATACAACGTATACGAACCAAACATAATAAAAGACATCCTCATTGTTTATTGTATTGTTATTTTATAATATACTAATTTTCTCGCCGACAAATAAATTGAACTAGTAATATTAAACTAGTACCTGCATGTTTCCCTAATGCAGTCACATCTGCGTGTCGAAGACAGATAGTCTATGTAATAATATCAACCATATAATAAACGACTACACAACTGCATGAATATGGCTTTTTATGGATTTGTGAATAATGAAAAGAAAAAAAACGTTAATAATCCTTATTCGATTAAAGCGTTTACTTCTCGAATTTGCTAATATAAATTAGTTAGGTTTTTACATTATTTCTTGGAGGATGCAATGATAATTTTAAAAACGACACTGCACAACATTCGCGTGAATTTTTTAACAATGGATAATTATGCATATAATGTGTAAATGAAAATTGTGTTATCGAGCTATGAGAGATAGTATCGTCAGTTTTCATAAATCCATATAGCTACTCGCATTTATTGCAAAAAAAAATAACATTTACTATATTAGGTAAATTTGCTGATTTGTATCTTATTATTTTCCTGGAGGTTATGAGCAAAAAAAGGTACTCGGGAGAGCCGCGGCAAGGGGACTATCGGTGGTCAGTGAACTGCGTTTCCTGTGGCCGCGTGCGTATTTTAATATTATTACTGAGGTAATTATTATTACCAACTGCTAGCTGTTCCAATTTTAATACTTCCGACTTTTCGGCCGTGTGCAGGTAAAACAAAAATCGTATTGTATCATTAATATATCTCCATTTTATTTCATTTTTTATGCAAACCCGTCGGCTCCGACAATTCACATGACCATGTTGAAGAATGAATATGCATGAAACGATTAAATTAATATATACATTCTCTAAAATTACTTTTGTACACATATATAAATGGCAGAAATATCCACCTAAATTAAAAAAATATAAATGATTCACAAAGGAAACATTTTATCCAGTCTACACACTCGGATTTCCCTACCTATATATTGCATTTTAAGTATAAAAAATACCTAAAATATTACAGTTTGATGTATTACCACCCCTTTTTTGCATTTGAAATGACACAATTAAATTAGTTTTTTCAATTAGTTTCACTGAAATTATTAAAAATGTTACAATATGATGATTTTATTTTAGTTTTCTATCTAAAATAATTAATCGCTAATTAGATAAATTTATTTACAATCAAATAAAATGACACTTGCTGAAGTGTTTCATGATTAAACGACGACTTCAGTTGTACTCTTTAACGTTGTCCATGTTTTGTCTTGTAGTCTGACATAGTTCATCAGTCCGTTTACGAGCTAGTGCATTCCGAGGACCGCGAAGAATTGCAAAGACAACTCATGTGGAACTCGACCATACAGTCAGAACCCGGATCTCCTGCACCGTCCATTACGTTGCACGAGGCTTTACACCCTGACAACGGTCGTTTGTTACAGCGCAGTTTTACTATACGCTTCCGGTGTCTTTTAGACAATACTTCCGGGTTTTTGGTAAGCAATTCAACCGTGTTTTAAACATTATTGCTCCACTTATGAAGGTAACCGGGTATAGGCTTGGACATTCAAAAAGAAGCTACAGTTTTTAATGTGATTTCATTAATTCTGATCTTTCTCGACGTTATTATTATTCAAACCGTCTATAATCGTTTTGCTAAACTTATTGCATGTCACTAATTGTATTTACAGAGACTGGACGTTCGTGGTCGTATCAAAGTTATTCACGGTCAGAATCGTAAATCGGATGAGCTACCTCCTTTGGGCTTGTTTGCTTTGTGTACGCCATTTGGACCGCCGTCTTTATTGGAAATACCTCACAAAGAAGTTATGTTTAAAAGCAAACACAAACTCGATCTCAGCCTTGTGTCAATGGACCAGAGGTATATATCTTAGATTTACTTCTTCTCATTATTATTATTATAGAAAGATTTAGTGTAGTTATATCTAAATTAATTTTTATGACATCAAATAAAAATTCTTTTGATTTATAGTTTATTGTTTTTACAAATCAATTAAATTTATATCAGATATAATATGGAACTTATAAATACTCTATTCAAAAATAGATAAAATATTTAAACGTTATACCGGAAATGCGTTCTGAAATCAAGTAGAACAGATATGTTATGTTACTCGCGCGTGAATTAATAAATAAAGTTTTAATAGATTGTATGGGAAATATATAATAATCCTAATGAATGCTAGTTACCGATTTGTACAAATATTCATACGGTATAATTACATGAAATTATTTTAATAATGATTTTGGTCAGAAAAGTGCTGGAATTATACACTCATAATTTAAATGTTTAATAAAATATGCTTAGTTTTCTTTTGCGTGAATACTTTTTCTTTTAGAGACAGTTATAATACGTATCGTTTGTTTACAGAGGCAAATTGCTGTTAGGTTATTGCGATTCTGAACTAGCTAATATGGGAGGATACGACTTGGTTCATTACGATGACTTGGCGTACGTAGCCAGTGCCCACCAAGAATGTAAGTATACCACGTATTAAATATATCTAAATTTAACATCTTTATAAGCACCAATACGTGGAAAATATTTAGAGCTAATTTTGGAGACTTCGTTATTTGTACTGTCTTATGCCTAAGAAAATCATCGGAAGACACTCTTATGATTCGTATCAATGTGATAAAAAATATTGGGCAAATTAAATAATAACTATATTAAAAAAGTATTTCAATAAAAAAAATATTTACTTTTAATTTCTTCTTCTTCTACTTTGCTTGTATTACAAGTATTTGGGCTCGCCCACCCATTTTCTAAACCTTAACTTGGCATAATCTCCCACATCATCATACACACATTAGCAGTCCTCCTATCACCCTAATGACATCCAACCACCTCTTTTCGGTCTTTTTTTTCGGAACGTCCCTTTCCATAGCCCTTCTTACAGCTTCCTATTCCTCTCTATTTCTCCACACACACGTTTTTTACCCTACTACGAGTCCTTTATACATATTCTTTATTATGTTAATATAAGTTTTTGAGACTCCTTTTCTCATTAACACCCCCAAATATTAAATTTGTTCAATAAGATAACATTATTTACATAAATAATGTTAATAAATAATAAATGAGTTATATAAAACTATTAAATAAATATTATGCAATAATATTATTATATTTTTGATTATTACAGTATTAAAAACTGGAGCTTCAGGAATGATAGCGTACAGAGTACAAACTAAACAAGAAACGTGGCAATGGTTGCAGACTAGTTCTAGACTAGTGTACAAAAATTCTAAGCCGGATTTTGTTATCAGTACACACAGGCCGTTAATGTGAGTAAATAATTGATTAAAAATTTGTCAAAAGAATTAAATTAATCTACATTAATAGATTATCATTCAAAATTAATTTAATTAATCTACATCTTGTGAGCCTAAACTTAAAATTAATTTATTTGTATAAAACTTATACGATTACATTTATTCATATATTTAACGCAGGGAAGAAGAAGGCCGGGATTTGTTGGGTAAACGAACAATGGACTTCAAAGTAAGTTATCTGGACGCTGGGCTAACTAACAGTTATTTTAGTGATTCGGAACAACTGACGGGTACCTTACCTGCTACCGCACCCAACAACCCAGCTCAGCCTTCTCAGCCTAGACGCCGTTATAAGACGCATTTGAGAGACTTTTTATCTACATGTCGAACCAAACGGAAACTTTCTTCTTCGACAACTCTTCCGACCTCTGTCACTGTGGCCGAATATCAGACGGTACAAGCCCCGTCTGTCACCCCCACCGCTTCTGCAGACATTTTGTACACAAATCTCAACACGACTACGTTGTATACGACCACACCGTATAACGGTGCCGGCGTGACGGACAATGGCACAGGTTACCAAACGAATTTTCATCAGCCCTTGTACGATACCCGGATACCTTATTTGACTGCTACCGATAATCTATTCCAATATAGGTAAAAATGATTTAATGTTATCATTTACATTTTAAACACATTTCAATACCAAATTTACTATTTATTTTCTTGTTTTATACATTTAGGTCCTTAGGTAATTATTATCCCGAATACCATACGCCATCAAACACCCCGTACATGGGGCACGGTTTTTTAGATATTAATCCTAGGGCGCCTGTTCAATGTGGTTTGCCCATGTACGACCAATTGACGACGGTGATTGGTAATAGAGACTGTGACAAGGTGTACGGATCACCACCAATGGATCAACAACATCAGCAGCAGCACGGAGGTTCTACAACAGAAGACGGCATGTCAAAGTGCATGGACCAAGGGGCACCTTACTTGATACCACTGAGCGATGTTCAGTTTAGAATCAAAAGTTCCTCACCAACACCAAACGGGTTGAAAATTGAAGATTCGAAATCTGAGTACGACATGCCATCTGATTCGGATGCGCCTAGGCAAACAGTACTCATGTGGGGAACGTGTGTAGGGAACTCCACGTCGCCGAATCAGTCACCAGGTGGTGGTAGCGGCGGAGGTGATGGCGGGAACTCGAGGACTCCACCACAGATTAACGGTCATCCACCGTCGCCGTACTTGCAACAAAAGAAAATGTCATCACCCACGTCTGAAACCCTCAAGTCGCTGCAAACTGAATTGCCTGATACACCGCCAAGTCCAGCGTACTCCAATCATCATTATCATCATCACCAGTATCATCAACATTTAACTGGGGGCGCTGAGGTATGGACACCCCCGCACGCGCACCCATCGCACCACTTCTATGCTTATCACCACCACCAGTGAGTGTCTTTTATTCCAAACACAGCGTCGTGCAATATAATTTTGATATAAAAGTTTTACATTTTTCATCGTAATTAAATAGGTAAAAAACATTAAATACGAAGGTCGTTTAAAAAGTAAGTGTCTCTACCCTATAAAATAATAACTACTAGAAACATCAGAAAAAGAAAAATTCTTTTATTTTTTTTTAAAGAAATTTAGAAACAATTAATTTTGTAACTTCAATTATTTTCTTCGCATTTTTGTAGCTTTTACTACAAAAAAGATTAAAAGATTTTTAATGCAGCCTTATAGCCCTATGTCGCCATTTCTTTTAAAAATCGGTCAACAACCTTTAAGTTCTTTATCGTCGGAAAAGTGTTGTCTACCTAGGTGAACTTTTAGCTTTGGGAATAAATAATAATCACTTAGAGCAAGGTCTGGGGAGTATGGTAGATGAGGAATTAAATCCCAAATAAAAAATTCAAGTAAATAAAATTCAAATTAATTTTTTTTTGCAGCGTGAAAACGTGCGTTGTCATGAATCAATAGCACACCTTTCGACAACACTCTAGTTATCTTAGACAGCATTAGCTATCTTGGAACCCAGCGTCCGCACACACTTTGATCATTTCCAATTTTTCTTTTAACAATTTTGACACCGACTTACGTTTTATTACGATGTGGGGAGGTAGATTGAACATAATATCATTAAACTTAAGACGTAAATCTCTTTGTAAAATATCCAAAATACACTGTATTTATTCATTATCATTTGCATTTAAAAGATGCCGTTCAACAAAATTTTGAAAAGCTACGTATCATTTTTGTATTATTACTCATTTCACCTGTACTACACCAACATCATTTCTCGGTGAATTTCCGTAGGATTTTTACTTTTTCCTTGTAGAAATCGGATAATGGGCCATAACTCATCAGTGGCGATCAGGACAAGAAGCCTTCTATGATGACTGAGCTTTTTATGTTCAGGTTTTTAGTGAAAGTTAAAAAAAGTCCATTGAGGCTGACTAATATAATTAGATTAACATTCACCCAACATTTGAAGATCCGCGGAATAACTGTTTGGATTTGACAAGTCAGAGAAACTTACTTTTTGCACGACCCTCATAAATAAATTACTTTTAAAATTTTGAATATTAAGATTATAATTATATTATTGAAATATAGTTTCCCTCCTATTACGCATATTTATTTAACGACAAATAAACTAATTGTTATAAGCCCATATTTCCACAGCTTTCTATAGTAATACTTGTAAATAAAATAATGTATACTATAAAAGGCATACACATTAACTGTACTAGAAGTTTGGAAAGTAATTTAATTGTAGCTTATAGTCTTTTAAATAACTATATTAGATAATTTTATCATTTCGGCGAGTTTTGTTTGTTTTAAGTAATTGTAGTTGCAGAATTTTATTTATAATTTCGCTTTAAAATGCTTAATTTGTTATGTTGTGCATTATTTTATAACGAGGTAGATAATAATACTGTAGACCTATGATTGGCTTTTTGTTAAATTAAAATTTGTGTTTTAAATTTATTGGTCTTGTTTTGGTGTAGGATTCTCATGAGGATACGAATATATATTAAATTATAAATATAATAATATGATACATATTAATTTGTTAAAGCTTTCATGGATTATTGTATTATCTATATTATTGTATTATTTATGTACACATAAATCATGACTTTAGTTTTTTGATGACATTTTGACTCGTTGCAGAGTTCCCAAGTTGTAACTGTAATGTCAACCTAGTTTGTTTTCTGAATGTTTTTAAATCGTTAATGGGTTGATATTCGATAATATTAATATGATTATTTGTTGTTGTTGTTAATCTTACTATCGCGTTGTTTTTGATAAGGACTATCTACTTGTTATTGATGTTGAATATGTTAAGTTATTGTTGTTGTTTTCGACATTCTTAACATTTTACATATCTTTTTCTGCGCAAGTAAATTTCGGATATGTCGAATATGGCTTTTTCACGTATTGTGTTGTTTTTTATTATTTATTTATGATTCCAAAACTGTAGTAGTCATATCTAAAACAAGCTTTCAAAAGTTTTTTTTCTAAATTTCAGTTCTTTTAGATGTACATTAATATTTATTCATTATAGAAAGGAATTTTGAGTGTGAAGGAGTATTTCTGGGTACTTCAAAGCTTATTTCGTCGTGTATAGTATATTTAATGAAAAAGAACACAGTGAATAGTTTTACTTAATCACACACAACTCGTATGCATGATATCTAGTTCGCGTTTCTTCATTGAAACTGATTTATTTTTTATTTTTGCAGCAACAACAGCACGGATGTTTATCACGACTCGCCGTACAACAACAATTACCTTTACAATCATACTGCTCATCATCAAACCACCGTTCCTCCACCGTCACAATATCCGAGTCCGTCTCAATCCAGATTAAATCACAGGACTGCAGTCCTCTGTTGTCCATCTCGGAGGTGACCAACACGCTGCTCAACCAATGAATAATAACTCTTGACTGTAAAAATAAAACATAAATAAATTGTATTTAATTTTTTTTAATGTTTAAATAGTATTAAATAGGTACATATCATTTTTACTATTTCATTATACTTTAGGATAATGCATAACTATTTACTTTCTTTAAACGCACAAATAATTTTTTTTTTTATAATTAGTCAATGGTTCTATATACATAAATCATTTTTATAAATGCACTTAACAAAAATAATAAGATATTAGCTATTGAAAATCCCATGATTGTTGTTTTTCTTGAAACCTATTTATGTTTTTAGTAATGTTTGTAGATATTTTTCTTTGTTGTTTTATATTTTATAAAGAAAATGTGTACACTAGTTTTATTATTTTGTTCTGTGATATGAATTTTTTTTAAATTATTAATAGTTACTCAATCTGGTAAACTACATAATCGCTGTATTTAATGGTTCTTATTAGATTATTTAAATTTAACTTTTGACTAATGTACTTAATATCAAATCGTAAAATTTTTCTTAAGTAATATATTCTAATGTTTTTAACCAATTGTTTANTTGTTGTAACATAAATCAAAATTATTTAGATAGGTTCTATCTATTGAATAATTTATTAAATTATACTTTATTATTTGTATATTAATTTCTTTATTGGTTTGTGACTTTGTTATTTCAATTTCGCATTATAAGTTATATTTCTATGTATGTAGCAATGTACTAAATGGATATAAATTATTTTTAACTAAATAAAAACGTCTAAAAACTTTATTAGTTTTTAAAAAAAAAAAAATGTATTTATGAAAAATGTAATAAAAGATGTTATATTTATTATGATAATTATCTAGAGTGTAGCTACTAGTTGGTTTACCCACTCAAGTTAATCCAGTTACACTACTATTAATTTGATTTTTTAATAGGACAGCAATTATATTTAACTGATTAACAAATTAGTAAATTATTGAAATAATAAAATGTGTGGAAATAATAATTTTTAAACTTTTATTTTAGAATTTATAAATATTTATTGGAGTATCGAAAATTATCATTTTTAATAATTAATTTGACATGTATCTTAACTTCAGTCTTTATTTTGAAGTGTTAATCACTACTGAATTATTATGTCAAAATCTTAGTCGACCAATAGTTATAATAAATATATTAATATTTCATTTGTAAGTTTAATTTAATATGAATGATTTCGTTAAAAAAATCTAATTAATGGACATTTGAACGCCTATCCTAGTTCACATGGACAATATAACTAACAGTTTTTCAGAGGTGAATTTAGACTAGGACAATGACAAAATATTCTGAAGTTTAAGTCGTGTTTAAACATATAATAAATAAAAACTCATCTTTTATGTACAAATAGCCGTCGTATCTAAAAAACATTATTTTAATGTTATATTACTTTTTGAAAAATATATGGATACAGATATTTTTGTATGCACATAAGTACGTTTCTCTTATTCAACAAATTTTATTGATAAGTTTACCTTTTCACAATTTAGGAGAGTAGTGTTGTCGATCTCTAGACAGAGTAATTAAAATTTGGTAAGACACTAATTTTCTCAGAAACTATTGAAAATTTTTAATTTTTGTAAAGAGAAAAAATAATAGTTTTAAAAAACAGCCAATTATAATTAGTTGATTTTGTTATTGATATACATTCAATAATATTTTTGATAAATAAATATTATTTTGTTTATTAATTAAACCATTTTTTTTTTTGTTGATTTACAAAGTATTTTTTAATATGATTAATATGTTATTCTTCTGACAAAAATAATACTTAAATTAAAAAAAACTTTGATTCATTTAACAAAAAGTATTTTTAACGTATTTTAATAATCCATTTGGTGATTTTAACCAGATGATTTTTTTTAAACTGTCTTATTAATTAAAAAAAAACGGTAGCACAGTGGGGTCGAGGCACAGTGTGGACGAGGCACAGATGGGACAAGTATAGATGATATCTGACAGTGATTAAAATCACTATCATAAGAAACGCTTCGATGCAAATCTGTAGATAGTGTTTCCTTTAGAGAAATTGGTGAAATATTTTAAAAGCAACATGAACTCTTATTTCTTTAATTATATCCTGATTAGTAGTTCTTTGATTTTAAAATATAATATATGAATAAATACTAATTATAGTTTTTAAATTTAGTATGAAATTGTGAGGCCAGCTATGATGTATGGTTCATAGTGTTGGGCGGTTGATAAGAAAGTAGAGCAGAGAATAAGTGTAGCAGAGATGAGAATGCTTAGTTGGATGAGTGGAGTGACTAGAGAAGATAGGATAAGGAACGAGCATATAAGAGGAAGTATAGGTGTTGCGTCAATCGTGGATAAGATGACAGAAAATAGACTTAGATTGTTTAGTCATGTTATGAGGAGAGAAGAATCGGAAGCTGTAAAAAAAGTTATAGAAATGAATGTTGAAGGAAGAAGAGTTAGAGGAAGACTAAAAAAGAGATGGAGGGATGCTATTGAATGCGATTTGAGGACAGATGATGTGAGCGTAGAAGATGTGGGAGATCGTGTCAAGTGGAAGCTTAGGATAAGGGTGGCCGACCCCAAGTAGTTGGGGTTAAGGCAAAGNAGTTCATGTTGCTTTTAAAATATTTCACCAATTTCTCTAAAGGAAACACTATCTACAGATTTGCATCGAAGCGTTTCTTATGATAGTGATTTTAATCACTGTCAGATATCATCTATACTTGTCCCATCTATGCCTCGTCCACACTGTGCGTTGACCACACTGTGCTACCGTTTTTTTTTATAAATCTGACACTTAACCTGCCCACAGGGGGGTATTCAAAATGACAACTTTATCACAAAAAATTAACTTTTTCAACTTAACATTTGAAAATGTTCCGGAACATTGACACTTTTATATATATATATTAAATTAAAGCTAATGTAATGTACTTTATTATGAAAAAAGAAAATTTAACCTCTGGACTTGTCTTCGTGGTGAAAATGGCTACCGAATGCTTTTTTGTGTGAAAATTCTCGATTTTATTTTTTATATTTTTAACTTTATAATGCTATAACTTATTGAAAAGTGTATGGATCAATACAATTTTTTTATGAGAAATAATATTTTTTAATAATCCCTTTTTCATTCGACATACTTTATCTTAACCAAGATATTAATAAGGAACTAGCAGATCATGTAGCTTTTGGAATAATACATCAATTTTAGCTTCGATGCGAAGCTGAGAAGGTATTAATTTTATTATGATGTGTTTTTTTTTTTATTTTTTTTTATTTTTTTTTGTGTCTGTGAACGCTCAATCTCAGCTCTCGCTGGACCGATTTTGATGAACAATATGTCAAAAGATCACAAATCGTATCTAGTCGAAGACATTACCCTCAAAAATTGAAAAAAATTCCCTCGTTCCC